CACACACACACACACACACACACACACACACACACACACACACACACACACACACACACGCATGTACGTATAGTATACATATATATATATATATATATACAGCAGCATCCCTTACCACTCCCGGGAATCCATGCGGTTCGTCTCTTTGCAAACGACATTTCGCATTTTGCAGGTGGAGACCATGTCCGGAGAGAGGCTGAAGCAGATCTTGGAGGAGCACACCGCAGTCCCGGAGAAGCTGACGGCGGTCTGAGCGGCGCACTGGAGAGGCCCAAAAGTTGGCCCAAGCAAGTGCCTTTTCCGGAACTTGGAAGTCCGGAAAAGGAGGAGTGACTCTGCTCGAAAGTTGGCAGGCATTCATATACTTCGAACAGGTTCAAATTTTCATGAGTTGCAGGCTCCAGTTCCAGTTTTGGGAGCCTCTGAGATCACGACGTGATGCAGTTTAGCTTTGCAACCCAATCAGTGAATCAGAGGCTCTCCAAGTGCAGACTTGAGATAGCTGCTATTTGCCAGCCGTCCAAGCAATCTTCGGCACATTTGGCATGGGGGCATTTGAATTCAGACCCCAATGCTGTGCCCCAATTTTGAAGGGCCGAATGGCATGCTTCCAATGCCACTTCGCGAGTTCACGCCATGCTTCTGACCTGCCAAGTCAAGTTAGTAGCCGGCCAGGTTGAATTCGCCTCGCAGGAAAGAGTCGCCTATTGTACAGCTGGGTCGGCTTGACTTCCCTTTGTGTACTCTCATATGCGGAAAAGCTGCGCGATTCTGTTAGCAGGAGTCAGGCATTTCCGAGAGCCTGCGCTGGAGCAGTCGTGCTTGACAAGTGCTGTCATCATGGGGTCTGATAGTTGGCGCATCCTCATTGATTGTTGAGGGTTTAGTCTGCCCTTGCCAGACAGTTCTTCAGACAAGACCAGGCACGGAAAGGCTTGGTTCAACCAAATCATACGCTTATTCAGTTACCCTGGCCAACCGGCCAACCAGACCGTGCAGACAGGCTGATGCTGCACGACTGTTCAAGTTCACTATGTTTGAGTTTTGGTCACCGGAAAGAAGCGGACACATTTGTTGTTGATTTACATATTGGGATTACGTCCCAAAAATAGTGTGTTCCAGCTGCGCATGTGCCCACATGTGTGTTCCTTGTGTGCACACATTTGCTTTCTTGCTTCCACTGTGTTTGCGCATCTTTGCTGTGTGTGTGTGCTGCGCATACAAGCATGTGTGCGGCGCGCAGGTGGCTTAGGGGGGCTGGCGCAGAAGGTTTTCTCTCCGGTCTTGATGCTGGAAAGCATTTCCTTGCCGGTGGCTGCGTGTTTGTTTCCCCGCTGCGGCATCTGCTGGTGGATTCAGCTTTGTGTTTGGTTGGTTTTACCAATTGATGAAGGAATACATGTTTATTTGATGGTGCACAGCCGTTTGGTTCAAACAATTTTCGAAAGTGGAGCGCACAATCATCGTCCAGACCAGTTGCGAATTTGCCATGGCTGTATGCAGCAAGATGTCAGGGAGCCGCACAACGGGTGTGATGCTGGCCGGGGGAATGGCTATGTTCATGGCCCCAGCGTTCGTTGCCCCCGGAGTGCCCCGCCAGGCTCAGGTCAGCACAGCGGCTCAGACGTTTCAGACTGCTCAGGCCGCTCAGGCCATGCGATCTGAGCCAACTCTCGGCTCCGCAGTGGCCGGTGCTGCCGTGGCCGGTGCAGCTATGGCTGGCGCAGGTGCCAGGGGTGCCCGTCGGGCCAAAGAACGCACGGTTGTAGCTGCGCGGCCTGACATGGAGCAGTGGCAGGGGCTGAGCAAATTGACCGCCCTTGCCCAAGAGCTGTTGCAGCGGCCCTCGCCTCAACAGCTGCAGCGCCTGGTGCTTGAGCTGCGCAGCTTCGCCGCCGCCGAGCTGCAGAGGGCGCAGTCGGCCACAGCCCCGGCCGCGCGCGCGAAGGCCTTCGCGGAGGTGGCGCAAGGCGCGGAGCAGGCGCTGCGCAGCGGTGTGGAGGGCCAGCTGCGGTGGGCCGCCAGCGCCGCTGCAGCGATGCTCCTGAGCAACGTGGTGACCCTGCAGCCAGCACAGGCGGCTGATGTGGTGAACTATTCCGACTTCCTGGAGTCAGTGAACAGGGGAGATGTGGAGATGGTCCGGGTGCAGCAAGATATGGTCTCTGCGCAGTACACCACCAAAGACGGCTCTCGTCGTGAAGTAAACCTCATTCCCAACGCACAGATCGAGGATCAGCTCTTCAATCAGCTAGCTGACAAGAAGGCCAGCCTTGGCCATGCTTGTCAAGAAACCTGTTCACTGGGCTCTGTGTTTGTGATTCATGAGGGAAGAGGATTCCATGCAGACCCTCGTCTTTACAGTGCTTTTGCCAAGCGTAGCGTCGTGAAAGAGCCTTTATTCGGGGTTGGTAGGCACGGTCATCAGCTGAAAAGGGATTTCGGGCAACCCGGGTCCGGACCGCGGTAAGGATTCCTGTTCCTTGCAGCCATGACGGGTAGGGCACAGATCTGGAGTTTTGACATGTCGAGCCATGAATCGCAATCTTTGATCCGTCAGGTTGACGTGGTGGTTGGGACCAACCAGGAGGCAGGGCTGGGTCAGCCCCTTGTTTCAACAAGTTCTAACCCAAACCACCTCTTTTTGATTTTCCTTGAGAGGGGGCCGAAACGGGTCTGGTTGTGACACATGTTGCAACCATGAAAACCAGGGCTCCCCCTTGGACTTCCTGCGGAGCTTCGCCGGTCCTTTGGCCTGGCTCATCGCTGGTCTCCTGCTGCTCTTCGGCGGACCCTTGGGCGGCCCTGCAGGCCCCGGCGGCCCAGGTGGCCCAGGCGGGGCTTGAAGGCTTGCTTGAAGTAAGAAACAGTCCGACCATAGTTTTGCTTCTTGGGGGATTTCTTCAAATGGCTACAGCTTTTCAATTCCCGTGAAAGTGGTTGGCGGACGCAGCGAGACACCGAAAGGAATTCTGGATTTCTTATCGCCGCCTTCCAGGTGGGAACCCCTTTGAGTTGGGCAAAGCCAAGGCGCGTGGCTTGGCATCTAGTGGAAGGGAAGCTTGAAGCTGATGTTGTTTTTCGGCCGTGCTTTCGTGCAGAGTGTGGCACAGAGTGTAGAGCCACAGCAGCATTCTTCAAGAAGCCCCATCAATTCAAGCAACAGATTGGAATGCGCTTGTTCCCAGTGGTACAGGAGATAACACAGCAGCTGGAAGGACGATACAGTGATTGACTAGTTTTGTTTCGCAAAGGCGGACATGTGCGATACAGGGGCACGAAGAGAGGTGATTCCATGAGTTCATAGTCAACGTCGGAGAACGCTCGAGTATGGGCGTGTCTTTGTGGAGCAACCATCTTTTTGCCAAGGAAACCATTTTGGGGGGTCCCCTAGTTTTGAGACACAGCCATACCCAAGCAACAGATTGGTGTAGCTGAGGTATTGCCAAGGACGGAGAGACGGGCACCAAGTTTGCGGATGTCGCCGGTTGCGATGGCGCCAAGCAGGAATTGGTGGAGGTGGTCGACTTCCTGAAGAATACCTCCAGGCCAGCATTTTGAGGGAATCTGGCTGTGAGCAGCGATTCAACCTGGGGTAGGTGAATACTAGGCGACTTCCACCCCAACCCACAACAAACGGATGCGGCAAGACGCACGTTTAACTCGTTGCCATGGGTTTTGGCTACACTCACGATCTGATTCTGACAGTGAACTGATTACACGTGAGTTTGTTTTAGGTGTTGCAGTCATTGGTGGGTTGACACTCTCAGATACTCCGAGCTGGGCGCGAAGATTCCCAAGGGTGCGCTGCTGGTGGGCCCCCCGGGAACTGGCAAGACACTTCTGGCGAAGGCTGTGGCCGGCGAGGCGTGAGCGGGGGCTGGAGGAAGCTCTGGCCATGGCTTCAGAAATCACGCGGGCCGCGAGTTTAGGTGGGTGCGGTTGGAGTAAACAGCTCTTGACAGTGTGATCTTCATACGAAAAATCGAGGCTCAGATCGCAACACCTTTCTGGGCGTTGTGTAAGAGAATCAGCCAGTGGGCTTAGCTGAGGGTCAATAGTTGACGGACGAAATCCTGCTCGTCTTTCGCTCGCGTGCAAAACCTTTGCGCTCCCCATTGATTTTTGGAAGTTTCAGGTCCCTTGGTGGCAAAACATGTTGGAAGGACCGTCAACAACTTTGAAAAGGGGAGCGGGGTGCGCGCCGTCAACCATAGGCAAAAACAGACACAAGTGAGGGTCGCTCAATCAATTCAGGAGCCGGGTAGATGAAGGAGTCCCACCCAGAAATAGGTTCCGCCACCCTTTTTGTTCTTTACACGGTCTTCGATGGACCTCTTGAATACCAGCTTGGGATTGTGATCACTTGCCAACAGGACATTCATGGAGAGGGGTGAGCTCTGATGCTTCGGACAAATGCCTGTCACAATTGCAGATTTGCCGCTTGCCAAGGGCGTATGCCGGGCCGTCCTCACAATTCATCACCGGTGATGACCCTTTCGAGTTGGTCTTGGAATTGGAGCATTTGAATGTACATATCGCACACGTATGCACACATATGTCAATTACATGTCTCCACAGATGTGGAACAATATGTATACACATGCAGGTATACTTATGTACCCCTGTATGAGAGTCTGCACATAGACAGTTTCCCAAACACATCGGATCTGTGCGTTAGAAAGGCGGGGGTGCCATTCTTCAGCATCGCTGCCTCGGAGTTCGTGGAGGTCTTCGCCGGGGTGGGCGCCAGTCGTGTTCGGGACCTCTTCGAGCAGGCCAAGAAGCGGCCCGGCTTTTGGCCGGTGGTGTTTGGAGGGAGCATGTGGGTGTTTGGGGGGGGAGAGCTGCCCTCCAAACGTTTTAGTTAAGATTTAGGTTTTTGCCTGCACTCTTGGGGGAACCTACCCTCCTGCCTCTTCTGCGGTTGTCCCTCAGATGAGCCAGCCCAAGGGTAGGCGTTTTCTCCAACTTTTTGGATGCTCGTCCAGTCAACGCCGAGCTTAATGCTTAGTAACTATCGCTGTTCATTGTTTCTATCATTTGGATAGGCATTCTGACTGATGCGTTTCAGGCCGAACAATCGTAAAGAAGTTGGGAGGGCTTGTTGACCTCTGTTGCTGGAAAGAAGTACAGGGGTCGTCGTGGCACATTGTTGTCGACAGTTTGTGCCACGATGGCCAAGGGTGCTGTGAGCAACTGACAAACATATCCGTAGTCTATTGTCAGTTTGGGGAGGATCTCAATGCTGAGGCCTTAGCAATACATAACAACCTGTCAACCCATACAGTGTACCAATAGTCGAGCACAATAAGGTTGCCTTCCCTCTTGTTTGCAAACTAAGCAGTGTGTCTCAACCTGGTCCGCCATTGTTTTCATAAAAAAAAAAAACGCAACACTGTGCCTGTTTGCCCTTTGCTTGCAAAACTCATCGCAACAATTTGAGTCGCATTGCGAAACTTGCCGTCTTTCGTTTGGGTGGCCTAAGGTCTGCTCCCTGCATCATTTTCATCGATGAGATCGATGCCGTGGGGCGCCAGCGCAGCGCCGGCTTTGGCCAGGGCAACGATGAGAGGGAGCAGACAGTGAACCAACTGCTAAGTGGGTTGCTTTCTTTGTTTGCTTTGTTGGAGGTTGTTTCCCTTTGAAATCAACCAACAAAAGGGCGCCGTATTCCGTCCCATGGAAATCCACTGGGCTTCTCAGGTGAACCAATTGCTCACGGAGTGCCTTGCCTTTTAGTACTGGGCAAGA